AAGGAATTTGGAGACAAGAAGAATGATGAACAACTGATTTTATTTAACGATTTTTTTTCTCCTAATCTTGATTTTTCTTTGATGCATGATAATGAAAAAACTTCCAGGGATGATCCAATCATGTTTCCAATCATAAATATTATCAAACAACAACCATGTTTTGATAAAGAAGTTTTAAAGGACAAACCAATACAATTGTCCATCAAGAACAAGCGTTTACTTCCATTCATAAGCATTAATGGGTTTGTTTTCTCTACTCTTTTGGAATTGATTTTCTTTTCTACTAATTTGATTGTGGTTGTAGGAAATGAAAGAAGACATAATTTTGAGAAAGAGTTGCACCCGGACGATGAGAGGAAACAAAGAAGATTCTTAAAAAAACTTACTTTGCCATGCCTAGCTTTTTAATGGTTGTTTCCATTAAATCAAAGGTGATCATTTGGAAAGATACAAAGGCAAAAGCACATGATGTTTCCAACAATCACCAAAGAGAAGTTGAAGGGATAAGTACCTTTTCCAAAAGACATAATGTTTCAAGCCAAGTAGTAGTTCAAAGGACAAGTCCCTTCACCAATGAATATGATGTTTCAAAACAATAGAAATAAGTTTACATGATCTACCTACTTGAAGGATTTCAAAGGTTAAGACTCTTCCCCAACCATCATGATGATTCAAAGGAAGAAGACGAAGAGTTATATACCTTCTCCAAAGGATGTGTTGTTTCAAGCAAAGAGATTGTTCAAAAGACATGCTTTATCAATGAAGGATATGATGTTTCCAAAACATATTAAGGATGACTCCAAGAGATGCAAGTCTTTACACAGAGACATGTTGAATCAAAGCAACACAAACGAGATGGAACAAATAGGTTGAACATTTCATAGGGAACATATTCTCAAGAAGAGCATAATGATTTAATCATCCCTACATCAAGAAGGTCTTCAATGAAAAGCTACTTCGATTTGAGGACAAGACACCTAAAAGAAAGGGGATGATGCGATCCTGTCTAGCACCAATTTTCTTCATGATATACTCACATCATTGAAGATCCATCAAGCTCAATCTAAGGGAGTTCTACCTTACTTTATCTTATATTTACTCATATATGCACTATATATTATTATGAGCATACATTTGCATATTTGACTATACATGAATTATCATAACATGTGCATTCATTCACTATGTCCTATGGTTTGCATCATAGATTGATATTCATGCATATAATCTATAGTTATAATAATAATATTCATTCATTATCATATGATGCATGAGTTATTATTATAACCTATGGCTACATCTTTATATTATAAGTTATTTACTTAAAATACTTAGCTTATATTATGTTTTCTTTTGAATGGACATAGTCGGCCACATGATGGGAGCTAACTTAAGCTAGCATTGGAGTCCAAGAGCTATGGAAACATGACTATGACAACTCCGGGATAGCTCAAGATCAATTTGGGACAAAATTGTCACTCCAAGCTCATAGCTGACTTGAGCTGAACGTTTGAGCTAGCTAGACATCTCATTTCAGCTGGAGAGTTGCACCATCACCACCACCACACAGAGTACTTCAAATATGGCCTAGGTTAATTTTTGTGAAATCGTGTCTTTTCGTGAATAGTTGTCATTACAAGAGGTGCCTTTACACAAGGAGTTGTTCAATGACTCATCTAAATGTAACTCACTTATGATCAGCTCATCTTCAGCTCCTACACGTGGGAAGTAGCTTAAATGATGAAAGGTACACAACGTGACCTTTCATGACAAGTTTCTGCCCATTGGATGTCATGACACCTAGATGCACGTTGGTGAGCTTGTTGTAGCTAAATGGAGCCTAACTTGCGAGGAGACATGAGGCAACCCTTACAACCATTCGGCCACACCCTTAGCACACGCCTAGCACATGCACAAGGCTTGGCGCCAAAGTAAAGAAGTATATAACCATTATGCCAAGGGTCTTCTTTATCTTTGTGTAGATTGCTTATAATTCAAGTGTGGCATTTGGTGTCTCTCCTAGATCGGGAAACAACAAGGCTGTAATCTACTCCATCATTGAAGAAGCTTGGATAGCCTTACATCATTTAATTTATAACATAATGTCTATAATGGATATTTTATCTTTTCAACAACCCCAAATAGTTCAATTTTAAATTATATTTTTATAAATATTTTTAAAAGTTTGTTTTTACATCAATTTTAAAATATCAATTTTCAAAAACTGACCCAATGTGTTCCCTTTATCCTTCTTAGATTTCACAACTCTGCCAACTCATCTTCTCCACCTAAGACCATACACCCATAATCCGGGAGGCAATTCATACCAGCCAATTCTTCCTCTACCCTCTTTTTGAGACAATATTTGGACACATTACGGACGGTAATCACCTCTGAAAACTTCAACCAACCTTCTTTCTTTAACTTTTTTAACTATTTTATTATGTTTTTCTCTAAATTTGGGATACTATTGGGTCTTTTATCATAAAGGAAAGCTCAAGCCTCTAGATAGTTTGCATATCACTTCTCCTTGAAATGATTCAACCTCAATTTGTCTTTGCTACTACATCTCATAATTTGGTCTTTGAATTCATCGCCTTTGGCATGTCTTCGGGTAAAACTAAATTTCAGATAAATCTTTTCGACAACTGGATTAGAGTGAAAAGATTTAACACACTCATTGAGGGGACTCACTTCTTTCGTCGCCATAAAATCAAATGTCCGATAACAATCTACCATGATACTTCGTTCAGTTGACCCAAAAATTACATTATACAAGCAAAACACCTTCTTAGCAAATTAATGCATAGGGAGATGAAAACTCAAATAGATGCAAATAAAACCATTCTTAACCATTATCTTCTCCCTCTCTATAGTCACTCAAATAGTGAGTGCCAATTAGTATGATAAATTCAAACTTATAATTCTCTCATTGCAAACCATGACAGAGCAATAGTTTTCTAACCCTATCAATGGTAATCTGGATGTAAGGAAACTTCACTCCATTGGACACAATGAATTTATCTCAACCTTCTTCTTAAGCTTCTTTGTCCCACTTGTGATGTTTTTCTTCATCGTATTGACCATAAGTACTAACAAAAAAGAAAAGAATTTCACAGAAATACTGTAGAAAAAATATGATAGTAGTTCAGAGAGGAAGAAAATAAATTGAGGATCTCTAATCTTACCCTCCTTAAATAACTAAAGATCACAATTTAGAATATTGTTCACCACCTCATCTATGGTCTTTATCTAATTATATGAGCACACATCACGTTTATTTTTTTCGCATCATATTTCTTTATGAATCAAAATTTCCAAACCATTATCTTCTTTTTTATCTCATCATCTTCTTCCCCAATCTTAAAACATCAAAGCTTCATATTTTACTTTGTTTTTTACTTAATTCAGCATTGTAATAGAAATTTAAAATCAATATAGATTTTTAGTATTCTTTCGAATTTTCTGATTTTTATCATATCTTTTTATATTTTTCAATTTTTTCTTAACCAACAAAAATGCTCATTAAAAATTAAAATAAATGTAAAAACTTATAAATTCCTACCTTTAACATTGCTACACTTAATACGAACCCTAAATGGTTGTACCGCTAGAGAATGAATTAAGTAGATGATATCTTCAAATTGTGAGCAACATGATTTGATTGGATCGGAAAGATTTAAGCGAAAAAATGGAGGTCATTATAATGTTTGGTTTTACATAACACTAAGTTTACAAAGACTATTCATATATATATATATATATACTTCGTTTATGTTTCACTATCAAAGAGTTATCTTTGTTGATTTCTGCTCCATATATATCGGACACTAAAATCCACATATTAAATTCCTAAATATTTAAATCATCATCTTCTTTAACACATCATCTTCTTCCTCAATCTTGAAACATCAAAGCTTTATATTTTACTTTGTTTTTTACTTAATAGTAAATCAAAGAAAAATCATAGCAAAATAACGAAATTTGATGCTTTAAGATTGGGGAATGAGAATATAGAATAAAGAAATAATAATTTGAAAATTTTAATTTATAAGAAAATATGATATGGAAAATAAATGTGATGTGTACTCATTTAATTGCATGATGACTATGGATGAGGTGGTGAACAAGATTCATGAAATAAATTCTCATCCGTAACTGTTTGTACACCTCTACAAGGAATAATTCATGGTGACATACGTGTATATTCTCAGCCGTTTAAAAGCAACAATTTTAAAAAAATGACTTCATAAATACAGTAAACATCTTTGCATATCTCGATTCAAGTCATTTTATGGCGTTTCCTCTACTAGGTGAAACAATTGTTATACCTCCAAAGATAGTCTCTAGACATTGACATCTCTTTGCCAACTAAAACTTTTAGACAGACTCTTTCGGAGCTTCCAAAAAATTCATATTCCCTAGACACAAAAATATCATAACCTCCTGGTCAACTACAGTGTATAGACAATATCTCTAGCAGCTCCACTAACCTACCAGAACGAAACTAAAAAATCTGGCTATTATATTTATTTAGCATGACGACCTACAAGTAGTAGCCATAATTACCTTATATATGATACAACCAGATAAAGTCACTATCGATATCTCTTAGCCGAGCGGTAGAGAGGGATCCTTTCCACCATCTCCCTTATAGAGACTTTGTCTTCTTCTTAAACCATTATTTATGTTAAGAAAAACATCGACCAACGATTGTTATTGTTGCCCAAATAAAAAAGGGTGAACCACCAACTATCGACTAGATAAACTTATTTCCATGTACATAAATATATATATTTTGTAACTGTAAAAGGCTCCTGTACGAGTTTCCGGTTGCTTAGAGGCAGTAACTTAAAATCAGGCTCTATCTCATTCAACCTTGAACATCATTTTATCCCTATGCAAGCGTTGCAGTTAATTTTCAGGCTTGGGATGTGGTAAACAGCTTCCTATTAGTTAATGTAATTATTTAGTATTTCACAAGTTTCAACCATCATGTTTAACTGAAACGAGAACAAATAAAATTGTATCTTACTACTGTACATATACAAGTCTTCAAACAAGTTACTTACAAGATCATTAAGAAAAGCTTTATTAAACTCCAAACTTGAATGAAAAGGTAATGATGCTTCAGTATTTGACAAGAACTCAAGAACCATCTGCTAGCTCCAAGCTCTCTTCATATCCAGAAAATCTCTTTCACTTTGGGAACTTGATATACGGGTTCCTCATCGTTTTGAGCCACATGTCTGCCATTACTCTCGAGGAAAGACTCCACAAAGTATCTTGCCCCTTGGATACATGTTTTCCTTTCTTCGCAGGCTTGCTCAAACCGTACGACACCAACCACTGCTTGGCGGTTAGCCTGTGCCTCTCACTGTCCCATACGTTCCTTTTTCCTGCTGTTGGCACCTTCAGGCCTCCCACATGTAAACTAGTCACTTTGAACCTCTTTTCTTCGTCGTTCTCGTCTGCTTTGGTGTCGCTGCCTGATGCATGAATGAGCACTAATACAGGGCCTCCGACCGCCTCGTATCGCCTTATGGGATCCCGTAGCTGCACGACCAACACGAGCATCAGTGTTTCAGGGTCTCCTAGCTGAGTTTGGCAAGCATTCGCGGTGTAATTCTCAAGTGGGATTGCAGAAGCCAGCGGTTGATGATCTTGTGTTGTTGTCTTTCCAGTGAGGGCGGAAACATCAAAGGGAGGTTCTTCTTCTGCCATTTCTGCCTGTACTTTCAAGGCTTCAACCACCATTCCCTCGATCTTCTGCAGAGAAAATGCTAGAATTTCCTCTGCCGTCAATGGATGTTCATTCACATTCCAAATCCCAGTTGCGATCCTTTCTTTCCTGCCGGTGTTCATCGCATTCACTGTGCTTTTCACTGCAGCGATGGTGCGAGCTGCACTCGAGTTAGCGCCTTCCTTGTTTCTTCCATGGATAATTGCAGAAGCAATTCCTTCAAAAGCGATCAGTTCTGCAGTTTTACCCATGATTTCATCCAGGGGCATGGAGGATAAAATCTGGGAGCTGAGTTTCTCAACTCCAACGGCTGCCATCTTCTGAAACAGTTCAAAACCACTCAATGATTTGTCAGATGGGATAACCATTGGTTTCGACAGTTGCATTGCCAGTTTTGGCGTGTCTTTTCTAGAAACCAAGGAATCCAGAGGATTCATGGCGGCTAAGTAGCCTCCATCTCTTGTTTGAACCACACAACCTAACCCCTTTCCTAGATCTGGGAGATAAACCTTTGAACCAGATTCATCAGCAGATTCATCTTTCTCAAGTTGAAAAAGTGGAACATCAGATTGATCAAGTTTAAATTCATTGCTTCCTTCATTCTCCAACATCTGCAGAAATTCCCTCGTGACAGTTTCTTCATCTGCATCGAGTCGTTGTGATTCCGTTTCTTCATCGATTTTAACAATCTTTTCATCCCCCATCATGGATTCAAGAGCTTGAATCTGCTGTGCAATTGAATCAAGCTCGGTTAACCTTGTCTGGTGCAACTGTCCATTCACCATCTCCTTAACGACCTCACTTGAAGCTGATTTATCTTCCAAAGCTTCTTCGGGTTCTTTTTCTTCTTCTTCTTCTGTTTGTTTCTCTTGGATTTCAACTCCCTTGTCTTCAACATCAAACTCCGGGAGGTCAATCTCTTCCATCCTGTCTGGCTCTTCTGATTTCTTAACGGCGACAGACAAAGAAGGAACGGATGCTGGTTCATCGAGATTCAAGTCATCTAGTCCTTGAAGATCAGCTGTCATTCCTGCCTGTGAAGGTGTCCAAGCTTCGGATCGACTGTCAATCCTCGGACTAGGGACACTGAAAGATGTTTTCGATTGTTTTCGAGCGAAAGAGGATGAAAAATTCTTGGATTTGCTACTCTTCAAGTTCAAACCCCCAGATGCTTGATTATAAATAGCAGTTCCTCCATCTTTTTCCATGATCTGGAATCCCAATTTCACAATGAGTTCACCCCCTTTGGCCTTCCCTGATAGCTTGAAACTCATGTCCCATTGACGAACTCGAGTTCCTTCATAGCTCTTCTGCACGGACTCCTGTATAAGCAGGCTCAAATCCACAGGGTTCCGCCCGAAATCAAGCTCTTCGGCATCGACTGCCACCAGGTAGATCAAGAACGGACGGGGCTCGAACTTCATCTGCTTTCCATTGCCATAACTGCAATACACATTGCACCTAACGAACAGAGTCTCTTCAAAATCCGCAGCTCCCTGCGATACCCTTGATGGCATCGTGTTAACAGCTCCATCTTTGGTTTCTTTCTTCCGAACACAAACGGAGAGCCGCAGGCCATTCATTGAAGAAGGAAGGCCTTGAGCAGTCACAACTTCAACCGATAACAAGCAGCTCAGCTTCTGCATCCCGATATGTGACAGCACTCGAATCGGCTTCCAATTCCATATCCCTTTCTTTTCTATTGACACTGCTGTTGCTTCTAACTGATTCGATCCCCTAGCCTTGTCCCGGTCATCGGTTTCGTTATCCGCTTTGGGACCGGAACGCCAGGGTGATAAGGACAAACGCCGAGTGCGTGGCCTGTTGCCGTTTTGCTTATTATCTTGGAATTTAGCATTGGGGACTTCATCAATAGCGGGAACCGACTCACGAGGAAGAGCAAGGGAAGCAGTTCTCCGAGTGGTGGAGGTGTGGGATTGGTAGAGGGATTGACTCAGTGCTTCCAGTTCTTCCAAAAGCTGAGAATTGGAGTTTCTTCGACCCGTTGCCATATGGAAATGAGTAGATAAAGAATTTGAGGGCTAAAAAATAAGGATTGAAGAAGTTGGAGTTGGTTCCAGAGTAAGATAAGGAAGGTGACGTGGTGGAGAAAATGGATGAGAAGTGGCTGTGTCTGGGCCTTTCAATGCCATCAACAGCCACCATTACTAAAGCTGTGAGTGTGACTGAGAGGCTAAACATGTGAAGGATAAGGGTAAACGTTGGCCTTCTCTTCCCCTCCAAAGAGTGATGGGGATGCAGACGGAGCCAATTCTGGTCCACATACTATTTAATGTTCTTTCCCACTGCTGTATATTTATACCTGTGATTGAAAAACCTGATACTCCGACTTCAATCCCTCAATTAGACCCAGTGAAAAAGCTAATCACTAAAATAAAATAATGAGGGATAAATATTATAAACAGATATTACTTCTCATGCACAATGCTATACATGAATTATGATTTTATTTAACTATATACATACGCACCATAAAATTTAGGTTCGAGCAATTATCACTCTGTAAGATGTGTATGTCTTGTCAATATTTATAAAAATTATGAAGAGATACTATTTTATAAACACTCCAAAATATTTTTAAAAACCACACATAAAATTTTTAAGTATACACAAAAAAATTTAGTTATTAATTTTATTTTTATTTTTTATGGTTAAATAGTCTATATTACATTAAAATAAATGTCATATTTGTCACTTTTTGTTTCGATTTTATTCAATTTTGATTATCAAAATTCAAAAAGTTATTGTAACATCTAGAAAGCGGTCTAAAATCTTTTCAATGTTTGATGATCGAAAAGCTCTTTTCCAATAATTTATTTCAGTATTTTGAATTTTCAGGATTCGGATTTATTTTATTGTATAGCTTGGATTGAAGGATAAGTTGCTTTGATATGGTTTACGGACTTAAATGTGATAAATAGAAAATATGGAGGCTTTAGTGAAAAGTGGAAATTTAGGTTCTCAAATGAAAACATGAAAAAAGATTAATGACTAAAGGTTTGATTAGACTATGCAATGGTTAATGTAAAGAGTAAAAATTATGAAGGACTAACTTTGTGATTTCACCATTTTCCTTTTTGGAAAATTTGCACCTGTATGTCAAGGTTTTATAATTTAGGTCTTTTTAATTGGTTTTCTTCAATTGGATCAAATTAAGTCTCCTCCCTGGGAGCGAAAGCTCAACGTTGGCTAAAAGAAATAGGAGGGAAGGAAATTAAAGTTTTTCCTTCATATTCAACCTTCGTTTATCTCTGGAGAGAGAGCTTAAAACCCTAATTTCTCTTTCTAAGATTCATGCTCAGTTAGTACCCAAATTGGAAAACAAACACATATTTGGAATCTTCACCTTATAAGCTTTCAGTTGGTAAAATCAATTTTAAATTTTGGGTAAGTTAATTCTAAGAAAAAAAAGGAGTGAAATGTGAACACTTTAGTATCAATTTTCTTGTGAAAGACGATCGATGACTGACAAATATTGATTATTAACGACGATCGAAAAGTACAATACAAAAAGTAAACTATTTAAAAGTTTAGTTACAAAATTAATACACCCCTAAAGTTTAATGTCTAAAACTATATCATTATAGGTATCAAAACAACAACACTAAAATAACACCTTTTTAGTGTGACATGCCACATCAACCACCATTGGCCATGTCATTGTCTTATTAATAACATAGCAACAAAGTAGCATAATTGAATGTAAATCTAAAATTCAATTCCATAATTAGAAATTTTGAAAGTTCAATAGTATAAATGAGTTAACAGATAAAATTTTATGATATGCTATATAACTTCCCATGTAATTAAAGTATTAACAAATAAGCTAAAGTTAGAGTGACACCCAAGTATAGACTTAAAAAATACTTTTGAATATGTTTTTGTGACATTGTATTTAAAACTCTTTCTTCAATCGAAAACGTTTAGGATATTAATTTTCAATAATTTTATAAATATAAATATATATATATATATATTGGAATAATAGGACTTTTTTAAAGAAGACTTTGACAGTTGGCGCCAATTATCGTAATGAAAACTAATTATAACTTTAACTGCAAAGCAAAATTAAAAAATTGAAGACCAAATTGAAGGTGCATAAAAAGTTTAGGGACCAGCGTAGCATACCCTTCAAAATATTACAAATAGCAATTCCTATATTATTCTGCATATCATATCCATAGCAATATAGGTGTACACGGAGATGAAATAAAAGTGCAGTTCAAATTATGTCAACCAATGTACAGCTTTAAACATGGCAGTGCCTCACCTCCTACGGACCTACATCAACTAGTTAAACCTCTTAAAGCAAAAAGGTAGACTGTATTTAAGTCGTGGTTTCCCGGGATCTCTAATATTCTCAAGCCTTTTTCTTCCACCAAATTAAAATTGTCATGTGATATTTTAAAAAATGAAAATTCATGAAAGTAAATAATACTATGTCAGCATTCATCATAATGTTGCCACCTTATTTGTACCAACCAGCCAGGAAGTATCTCAGCATGAAACAAAAGCAGCATCCTAGGGCCTATTGAAATGGGAAGCACACATGAGATTGGTAAGCAAATGGATGATGCACGCTAATCGGAGATCATTCCACTTTACTAAGTGTAACTAGGAAGTGTAAACTATATGTTACAATGTGCATTTTTGTTAAAATTGGTTTATATTTGGAGAGAAACCGGAAAATAGATGATCGGTTGTAAGATTGTAGAGCTGAGATGGATGCTGTAAGTTATTCACTAAAATTGAAATGCTGATTAAGTGAAGAAAGAATGCAAACATTGAAAACTAACCTGAAGAAAGAGGAGGTGTATGCAGAGTGACTTTTCCGATTTCGGCCCGACTATTCTCAAGTAAAAGTTTATGAGTGTCCCATCGCGTGTTCCAGTAAGTAGTCCGGTTTCAGGATTGAACCTAGAGATACAAAAGCCAGTGATGATAAAAGAGAAAGGAAAACTTTGATGCACGCAATCCAAGTATGATACGAGTATCAAAAGTTACCTTGGAAGACGATGACGGGGGCATTTGAAATAGCCAGAAAGCTAAAAAAAAATATTGATGTAAATGCAAATTAGATATCTTGCATGTTATTTAGTCAAGTTCTAAAGAGGACAGAGAAAGTCAAACCTGAGGAAGTGACAAGAGGAAGTTTAACACTTGAGGAAGAAAGAAAATCAAGAGTGTTTCACTGGGCCAAGAAATTTAAAGCGGAAAAAAGACGGTAAGCAAAAACATCTAATTTGACATAAAAAAAAATAAAATTAAGCTATATAAGTCCAGCAAAATAGCAAATGGCAGAAAGAAGCCTAGAAGTTGGTTGAAACTGTTTTTAGTCAACTCATATGTGTTGAATTACTCGGTAAATAGGTACCATGAATCAAAATGACAAAGGATAATGGTAAATCATCATTTTTTTGTTGAAGGGTATAAATATTCGAGAACCCAACATGCAATTAATGACAAATAAAGGATATTTCTTAAATTATGGCCTACAAATTGGCTTGCAAGGTTACTGCATCAATTTATTTATCGTAAAACTAAGACATATTAATTCCAAAAATGTAGAGTTTGACCTCAGAAGGCACTCACTGCCATGACTTTTGGGTGAAGGGACACGTATACACGATACATGCATTCAATTGTACATGCGGGAATATAGGTACTGCAATATGTAACCAAAGGCCAAGCAAAAGAAACTTATTGAAAGGAACACGCGCGCACCTATAATGTCCCAGAATTCCAACTACGGCCATGGTCATTCCAGCAAAGTATGTGTATGTATCCCCCACAAAAACTGAAGAAGGATACCTAAATAAAAAAAGGTAAAAAACCCATTAGCAAGACTTTATTAGCCAAGAAGTAGCAGCTGCAAACAGCTGGCTGTAAAATGACAGGATTATTACCAGTTGTAAGAAAGTAAAGCCAAGGAAGTGGCTAATAAGGGTTGCACAAGATAAATAGAGAAAGCATGAGCTTGTTTATACTCGGGATCCGAAGATGCTCCAATTTGCATTAAGTTATGTATCACAATCTGCGAAATGCAAAATGAAGTTAGTCTGATAAAATGCCAGATTTATATAATATTGTCAAAACAGGGAGTTTCTGTAATTCTTTCTTATATGTTTATGTAGGAAACTTACACATTTAAATATACAAGCTACTGCCTTGTCTTAAGAAACTGCTAAACTAGGTAAGTGACTGATTCTAGGAATAAATAAAGATCCCTAATGTTTAGGGATCCTAACTAATAAAAATACATCACAAATATCCCACTATATTTACATAATCTACTTACTTTAGGAATCTAATTCCCGACACTCCCCCTCAGGCTGGGGCATGGATGTCTTCTATCCTCAGCTTGCCTGTCAACTTCTGAAAATACTTACCAGGTAAACCCTTGGTAAGTATGTCTGCAACTTGATCTCCAGTGGTCACATACGGAGTACAGATCAGGCCACTGTCAAGTTTTTCTTTTATAAAATGTATATCCACTTCAACATGTTTTGTTATGTCATATTGAACTGGATTATGAGCAATATTGATTGTTGACTTTTTATCCCAGTATAGCTTCATTGGTCCATTCCATTTGACCTTCAAATCCTCTAAAATAATCTTCAGCCATAGTAACTCACAAATTCCTAGTGCCATAGCTCGAAATTCAGCTTTTACACTGAATCTTGCCACAACATTCTATTTTTTTGCTCCTACAAATGACTAGATTTCCTCCAAAGAAAGTGCAGTATCCTCAGGTTGACCTTCTATCAATTATGGACCCTGCATAGTCTACATCAGTGTATGCTTCTCTTCCTCTTTTAAACAAAATTCCTTTCCATGGTATGCCCTTCAAGTACTGCAAAATTTGAGTCACAGCCCTTAGATGTGATTCCTTAGGATTGTGCATGAACTGGCTTACAACTCCAACAACATATGTTATGTCCGGTCTGATGTGTGACAAATAAATAAGCCTTCCCACAAGTATCTGAAATGAACTTCTATCAACTGCTACATCATCATCTTTTGAATCTCCAAGCTTGTGATCGACTTCTATTGGAGTTTCTGTAAGTCTACACCCTAGTTTTCCGGTCTCCTTTAACAAATCCAAAGTATACTTTTGTTGAGATATAAAAATCTCTTGTTGTGAGTATGCCACTTCAATACCAAGGAAGTATTTTAATCTTCCAAGTTCTTTCACTTCAAACTCTTTTATGAGACACTTCTTTAGGCTTTCAATTCCTTCAGAGTCATTTCCAAGTTCTTACTAGGGTTTTATTCTTGTCCAGTGCTTCTATTTCATCTTTCATAGCCGTTTTCCACTTCTCATTCACTAATGCCTCAGATACAGCTTTAAGAATGGTGATGACATTTAGGTGGTGAGGAAGGCTTTGTGATTGGGGGATAAGTTTTTGTAAGTCATGAACAAGTAAGAAGGATGTTTTGTGGTACAGGTTCTTTTTCCTTTTCTAATACCAATGGGAAATTCAAAATCAAAAGTATACAGTATTTTCAGTGTCATTTTGATCAGAATGAGTTTCAAAATGTACCTCAGATTGCGTAGGAGCAGGAGAAGGGGATGATTGAATCTACATTGGTGCCTTCTTCCTTGAATAAACCAGTAGAGGATGAGTTGTGTCCTAAATGTTTGGTTGTGGTGTATTGGGCTCTGGTTGTGGAGAGGCTGGTGTAGGGACAGGTTGTGTTTGTTGTATTTGTTCAAAAAGTATAGGTGTGGGGAAGTCAATGAGAGGTTGAAGTAGGAAGAAATCTGCATTCTTATCTTCCCTAAATAATATCTCCCCTGAAGATAAGGAACAGTAAAATAACTTTCTTTTTCCACAAAGGTAACATCAACAGAGGTGCAGTATTTACTTGTAGCCTTTTTTAGTGGAAGAGTAGCTAATAAATATGCATTTTGATTCCCTTGGATCAAGCTTACCCGGCCTTGAGAATGTATATGAACAAAAACAACACACTTAAATATTCTAGGTTTTAGGTTCAGTGATGGGCTGAAATTTAGAAAAAAAATTGTAAGAACTTGAAGGGGACTTGAGGATTCAAGGATTTTAGTGGGTAATCAGTTTATCATGTAAGTGGCAGTTAACACAGCCTACCCAATTGTTGTTTAGGAACTTTATTTTGAAATAATAAGGCTCTTGTTTGGCAAGAATATGGCCATTCTTCCTTTCTGCTACACCATTCTATTGGGAAGTATTTACACATGAGGATTCATGTATAATACCTTTTTTTAAAAAGTAGGGAGATAAGAATTGATTAAAGTAGTCTTTGGTATTGTCTAATCTAAACCTCTTTATTTCATCCCAAATTGAGTCTTGATCATTGTATAGAAGTATTTAAAGGTAGGGTTAACATCTGATTTTTGTTTTAGTAGGAAAATCCATGTGACCCGAGTACAATCATCTATAAATGGCACATACCATCTGGTCCCAATTATGTTAGGAATAGTGGAAGGTTCCCAAACATCACTGTGAATAAGAGTAAAAGGGACTGGTGATCTTTATTGCTTGTTGGGTAAGGAGAGCGTTTATTTTTTGCTAGTTCACATACTTCACAATGCAATTCTTCAACATTTAGGGAATTAAACAAAGAGGGAAACATAGTCTTTAAAACTTTAAAAGTAGGTGACCAAGGCAAAAATGGTGTAGCCAGATTTGGTCTTTATTGGCTGTAGTTCTAATAAAAGAGACAATGGTTGGGTATTCGAGACTCTAACTGGTCCACTAGGATCTTCAAGGTAGTATAGGTCGTTTACCTCCCTAGCACGCCCAATCATCCTCTTCGTTTCTTGCTCTTGAAAAATACATTATGTAGGATGAAACAAAACATTGCAATTAGTGTCTTTGATGAGCTTGTGGATGGATATGAGATTAGTAAATAATTTTGGTACATGTAGGACATTTTTAAGTAACAGGGTTTTACTTATGGCAATATCTCCTTAGCCAGCAACAGTTAGCATTGTATCATCTGCAACTGTGATTTTTTTTGTTAATAGTACAGGGTGTGTAGATGAGAAATTTAAGTGAGGAATTAGTCATATGGTATGTGGCTCCTAAGTCAATTATCCAGGAATTTTGGGTAGGTATACGGTTGGATTACTTTAAGACATTAGAATCCTGAGAAAAGGAAGAAGATATACCTGAGAATACCAAATTGCATGTACCTGTAGAAGAATGATTCTCTAAGGATTTCGATAGACTCTTTAGTTTTTCTACTTCTTCCCTGTTGACTCAACAGATTGTTCTTCAGGTTCCTTAACCACTTGTTTGGTTATATACGCTCTGCTTTATCCTCTTGATGAACCTCCTCTTTTTGTGAAGTTCCTACTTGTTGACTGAGGCTTCCCATGTAACCTCCAGCACTTCCCTTTAGTGTGGCGAGGCTTCTTCCAGAAAGCACACCATAAAGTCTCTGTTTAATGCTATTGTTGCTTCTAACTTCGAAATTTTGCTACTCCAGGTGTGTTGGTTCCTCAGTTACAGCCCTAGTGACCAAGGGTGAACTCTGTATTTAACTATTTTCAAGCAAGATTACTCCTCTTCTTTCTTCCTCAACACAAAAGATAGCAATAGTCTCATTCAGTGAGTGCATGTCTTCTTTTCCTAGGATTTGGACTCTCACTGCATCAAATTCAATATTTAGTCCAACAAAAAAATCATAAACTTTGTCCTTTTCGACAAACCTCGTTAGAATTGTTGTATCTTCACTGCATTTCATTTCGATGCATTGATAGTGATTCATCTCCTGCCAAAGATTCTACAGCAAGTTATAGTACTCAGTAATTGATTTGCTTCCCTGTTTGGTGGATGAAATCTTGCTCTTGATTTCATATATCTAGGCAACATCTCGGACCTTAGAATAGGTTTGTTTTGTTGCCTCCCATATTTCCTGAGCTATCCTAAGAAACATAGAAGTGTCACTTATCTTAGACACCATTAAATTCTATAGCCAAGAGATAACTAGCGAGTCTTGTTCATCTCAAGCCTCGAACCTAGGGTCTCCTTCTTTAGGACCAGTTCCAAGGGGATGACTGAGCTTACCTCTTCCTTTTAGGAAGGTTCAAATCAATTGGGACCAATTAAAATAGTTTTTACTATTCAATCTATAGGCAGCTTGTATGTTTTGTAAGTCACTAATTAGATTAGAGTGACTTCCTTCACTCATTGTGCCTATTTGATCAGCCTCCGAACTGCTAGAATCAACTCCATCAACCATGTTTTTTGTAAGACAGATACCTCATACTCTAAAGAGAAGATTAGAACAGAGAAGGGCAAATTCGACATCAGGAAGTGTTTTCACACCATCGACCGACATCGACTCATCCCAATCTTTAAGGAGGAGATCAACGATCCCAAGTTCTTTTACCCCATTCAGAAAATCGACTTAAATACGAATTACAAGACCTAAATAATGAGTTAGAGAGGCTCTGATACCATGTCGAAACAGGGAGTTTATGTAATTACTTCTTATATGTTTTATGTAGGAAACTTACACATTTAAATATATAAAGCTATTGTATTATCTTAGGAAACTGCTAAACTAGTTAAGTGATTGATTCTAGGAATAAATAAAGATCCCTAAAGTTTAAGGATCCTAACAAATAAAATACATCACAAAGATCATACCATATTTACATAATCTACTTAATTTAGGAATCTAATTATCATTATCATTATCATTTATGCTCACAGCTGATGAAATCACAACTGTCTGCCCGACTTCAAGGCCATTCACACCAGCATGAATGTTAATGGAATTTGTGCAGAATATTGCCAAAAGCCACATATACAATTTGTACACCCATCCTGCCACAACAAAACTAACCGTGAGTTACTCGCATGGATAAACAGCTCACTGACTCGGTGGTCTAAACACAAACACAAATTCAAATTTTGTTTCTCTATTTTTTAATAGATTACAAATAAGAAGGGAAATCAGAATTGAAGATTAGAAAAACTTTTAGCAGTTTAAAAAGGATAAATCATGAAAAGGTAACTTAAGATGGGAGAGAAAGCAAAGATAATAAAGATAAGGTAATTTTTATGCCCAAATTGAACTCTAAAATATGCATAAAAAATTATAATGTTAGTCCCACTTTTTTTTCACACATAAAAGGTTTAATGTTAACTCCAAAATTTTGGGCCAATGTTCTTTCCATATAGAAAGGTTAATGTTTAACTATATCCAAGACATATCCCAACATGTTCCTTTACATCTTCACATATCCTCCAACATGCACGGGCATAAGGATATTTAATTTTAACATGGTAAAAATTTGGAGTGTTGTTGCTTCAAAGACAAATAAATTTGTCTTAAAATAGAAGGAAACAGGAAAAGAAAAAAGGCATGATGTACAATTTATTTTTTTTTTTATAGGAATAGGAGGTCTCATTAAAAACCTCCCTCTTAGAGGATCTTACCCATAAAGTAAGACCCAACTAGCGGAAGGAGGAAAAGAGTACCTCAATTTATTAATGAAAGCCAAGTTACATAAGACTTAAAAACACTTTTACAAACAACATAATACTTCACACACTCCTCTAGCTTCTAAGCTCAGAAACAGACACCAACTGAAACAGACAAAAAAAATCACCCGATCCCCTCTTTTGCTAGCTTGTCAGCCTCGCAATTACAAGACCTTGGAATCCACCTTACAATAAAATTTCTAAAAGAAACAATAGATACAATTTCCTTAACAAAATTCGAAAGGGAAATAGGAACCAAAGCTTGATCTTTGATCCAATCCACGACCAGCTTGCAATCACATTCAATAATGAGTCTGCCCTTCAACAACCATTCTGAAGAAACAAAGATATCAATGCCTCTTCTTACAGCTTTCAATTCTGCTAAATAGGGATAAGAAGGACCAACATTTTCTGAAAAAGAGATGAGTGTAACCCGATTCCAATCCCTGAGAAGACCCCCTATTCCAGCCACTCTCCCAACTCTACTACAAGCCCCATCCACATTGAATTTAAAAAAATCAACTGGAGGAGGAAACCACCCGCACCCTGATCTGTGAAGTTCCTTAGGGGCAGAGATACTATCTGCCAAGGAAGGATCACCAATTAAAGAATCCACCTTAATATAGGAAAGAGGATATTTTGCTAGAAACCATCTTGCTAGCCTTAAGCGAACAGTGAAAAACAATGAAAGCTTGTCCAGTTTACCATTATCAAAGATAATATCATTTCTGATTCTCCAAATTGACCATAGCACTACACCCGGAATAAACTTCCAAATAACCGAAGAAGGCCTCAAATCAGACCAAGAACTAAGTAAGGAAGGAGGGTCAAGTGGAAAAGCTAAACTAATACCCCAATAACAAATTAATTTATTCCACAGCTCCCACGAAACCTGACAGAACAAAAAAAGATGCTGGACAGATTCTTCACATAGATTGCAAAAAGGGCAGAGAGTATCCTCCCCTAAAGTAACCCCCCTTTTCATCAATTCCATTCTAACAGCAACTTTTTGATGAGATAGCTGCCAAAGGAAAGTCTCCACTCTAGGAGGGACTAATCCCAGCCAACACAGTTTCTCCACTGAAATGTATCCTCATAAACAGACTCTAGAGATTTCCTGCACTCTTTGACAGAAAACAGCCCGTCCCCCAAGCCATCCCACAGCAGGCAATCCTCCAAAGATTCAATCAGTTTAATGTCTTTAAGGCTGTTCAATAATTCAACCAACTGCAACACTTCCCAATCACAAAGATTCCTCCTTGTTTTAATATTCCACTCCCATCCATTCAAATCAAAACTACCAAAGCAGCCACATTGCCATCTTTGTTAGTAGAAAGTGCAAAAATCCTAGGAAAAAGTATTTTTAATGGACAATCCCCAAGCCAAGTATCCTTCCAAAAAGAGACAGATTCTCCATTCCCTATTTGAATTTTTGCATGAGATCTAAGGCACCCTCCAATGAAGTCATTCTTTGAGAAGTTATGACAATTCCCCTCCAAATCCACGAGTCTTTATGAGATAGGGCCTTAGTGATATCCAAGGAATGACAACTCACATTATGTTTACAACAAAAGAATTTCTTCCATATCGAGTCTTTCTCATTTGCAAACTTCCATACCCACTTCCCCAACAACGCTCGATTGGTAAGATTCAAATCAACAACTCCTAAACCTCCACCACTCAACGGCTTACAAATCTTTTTCCAACTAACCCAATGCATTCTCTTTTTCTCACCCCCTCCACCCCAAAGAAAATTCGACATCAAAGAATTTAACTGTTGAGAAATAGTAGATGGCATCTTGAAAATAGATAGGTAAAAAATGGGTAAAGATGAAAGTACCGACTTTATAAGCACCAATCTGCCAGCCATGGATAAAGATGAAGCTTTCCACCCCACCAATTTTCTACTAAAGTTCTCTATGACCGGCTCCCACAACTTCTCTGAATTCTTTTTTGCCCCCAAAGGGAGGCCTAAATAAACTGTCGGGAAAGAGCCAATAGAACAGCCAATATCCCTCGCCCATTCTTCAAGTAAGTCATTCTCCATATTAATACCATAAAGTTTACTTTTGGCTAAATTGAGATGGAGCCCCGTCATTAGGCCAAAAATCCTCAAAACTCTTCTAACATTCTTGATCTGGGTAATAGAGGCTCGACAGAATATAATTAAATCGTCCGCAAACTGAAGGTGTGATAAATTAAAGGAGTTTTGATCATTGCCGAACGAAAACCCTTGAAACAGACCCAAAACCACTGCTTTTGAAAGCATCTTGTGAAGCAATTCCCCAACAACATTGAACAGAATAGGAGAGAGGCTACATCCTTGCCTTAATCCTTTATCAATAAGAAATTCTTCTGTAGGGGACCCATTGACTAGGACCGATATAGAAGCTGTGGAAATACATTGTGTGATCCAAGAACACCACCTATCACCAAAACCCATCTCTTTCAATAATCTTATAACAATCTGCCATTCCACTGTGTCATACGCTCTGCTGAAGTCTACTTTAAAGACAACCCCTTTAAGCCCTTGTTTCCTCCAACTGTCAATTCCTTCATTGGCCACACAAACACATTCCAACAATTGTCTCCCCGGAATAAATGCAAACTGATTAGGACTGATAATATCTTTGACACAAGAAATAAGTCTCTTTGAAAGCACTTTTGATAGAATTTTATATAGGCTGCCCACAAGACTAATGGGTCTATAGTCTTCTATACTCTCCGGATTACCTTTCTTTGGGATCAAGGTAATAAAAGCGTGGTTAACCCCGTGTACCCACTCCTTTCCTTCAAAGAAATCTGAAACAAACTCCATAATCTGCTCCTTCAAATGATTCCAGTATTTCTTATAAAAACCCATGGTAAAACCATCCGGACCGGGAGCTTTAGCACTATCAGAAGAAGAAATTGCATTCCACACTTCTTGCTCTGTAAATTCCTCCTCCAGATAAATCCTTTGAACTGCTGATATTTTCATAAAATCAAAATCTAGACCCTCAACCTCAAAAGCCGCTTTTGTGTTGTATGCAGTCCTGAAAAACTCATAAACACTGTTTTTTATCTTAACTGGATCCGAAATTACCACCCCTTCAATTTTCAGAGAATGAATAGTGTTAACACTATTTCTTTTCATAGCAGTAAGGTGAAAAAACCTCGTATTTTTGTCTCCGTTTTTGATCCATCTATTTCTTGAATTCTGCCACCAAATGCTTTCTTCGATCCTTAACAATCTCCACAGCTCATTTTTGAATTCAATCAACTGATCCCATTCCCCCTTAGATAACATTCCACCTTGTGACTTTAAATCCAATTCATTTATTTTAACTTCAAGCAGCGAAATGGAGTCTGATAGCCCTAAATGACTGCTGCCAGGCCAATTTCTGATCTTCTTCTTCGCGTTTTGTAACAGCCTGAAAATCCCCCCTCTATTCCTCTTCTTCTTCTCATCAACCACACAACCTTCAACCAAATCATCAAACCCTTTCTCCTCTAACAGAAAATTAAATAGCCTAAAGGGTTTGGGGCCCCAATTGTGACTAACATCCTCCAGCAAGACCGGATTATGATCTGAAATTGATTTTGGTAAAAGGCATTGTGAAATCCTAGGAAAGCTGTTCAAAAATCTGCCACAAATTAGAAATCGATCTAGTCTAACCCATGTTGACAACTCTCTATTACTGCACCAGGTGAAAGTTCCTCCTGACATAGGCAGATCCATAAGGTTAGCTTGTTGTATAAATGATCTAAGAGTTTCAATAGCATGCCAATTTTGTGATCTCCCTTGCTTTTCTTCCGGAACAAGATACACATTGAAATCACCCCCAATACAAACTGGCAAATTCGTCAAACTAACATAACTCAGCAGCTCCCCAAAGAATTCCTCCTTATCAGCTTCAATAACAGGTCCATAGACATTAATGAAGACAAACTCCTTTTGGCCATTCAAAAATTCCCCACTAATGCTATAAACCTACTATGAACATGCTGGATAGTGACATTGAAAACGTTTTCATTCCACATACTAATCAAACCACCCTTAGACCCCTGTGCAGGAGAAACCACCACTCCCTTCAGCAAATTTCCTCCAATCCTCCTTAAGATCGACGCATGACACTGGTCAAGTTTAGATTCTTGAATAAAAATCATAACAGGTTTTAACTTCTTAACTTGCCTTGCCACTGCTAAAGATTTTTCCTTCCTCCCTAAACCTCTAATGTTCCAAGTAAGGATACTAAATTTCTGCATATACTGACTTCAAAACCAAACACCAAAAATATACCCTGCAAACCAGCATATCACCCTTCCCTTCCTACCTCCAAACCCTTTTCAAGACTCACAATTTTATCATAAAAGCCTTCCTCCCTTCCTTAAAAGAAATACCTAACATCTGACACACTTCCCATGTGGCCATTGCTTCCTCTACCAGCTTCGAAAAAAGAGATGAAGAAGCAGTAGAAATATTCACCATTTCCAAAGCTTCACTGATTAGAGCTCTTCTCTTCCTTCTTTTATTAAATCGAGACCCTGAAGCAGTGTAAGGAGCTGCCAGACTCTCTGAATGATTACTGCCAATTAATGGGACATTCGGAGTCTTCGGAACATCTAATGAACAATTGATATCCTCTTCCTGACCAATTCCCCTATATTCTGAAAAATTCTGCTGAAAATATCTGCTTTCATTTGCCTTCTGTCCTTGATTCAGATTAACCTCTGAACAAAATAATTCTGTTTCGTTATTTGCATCTAACCAAATTCGTCTATTTCTTGACCTTCTATAGACTCTAGCATATCGACCTCTTTCTCTCCTACCACCGGGTGCACTTCTAATTGACAGACAAGCATAATTTGAATGTCCCATTTTCCAACTTTTAGAGCTCTTCATAAATCCTCCATTATTATCCTCCTGCATGAAACTTCCTTCTGCTATCTTACCACGAGCAGAAATTTCATCACCCTGGCCTTCCCCATTATCCTCTTCTGGAATATTGCAACTATCATCCTCCATTAAATCATAAAGAGACTGGAACTTATTTTGTTTATCCAGCCCATCCCACTTAATTTTAACAGCAGGCCCAGCAGGAATTATTTTAGAGACTGGAGAAGATGATTCCCCATTAGAATCAGATTGGGCTGGATGTAACTGATCCACTTCCTTTCGCAGCCCTAGCCCCGCAAAATCTCTATAGGAATTAGACTCAAATTCAAATTCAAAATTTTCTGACAACCCATTAATGATAGGTTTCGTGTGGGACTTATGTTTCAGAGATTGTTCCCCGCCACCTTTTAACCTCCCACTTTCTTGACCCTGCTGTAACCACGTGTCCACCTTTGACCCTACTTCCTCTGCTGACTTCTCCCACTTGTCTTCTTCCTTCTCTGAGTTGACTCCTTCATCCTCCTTCGAAAAATCATCACTACTCCCATCATCAAAATACTTCTGCAGCTCCTCTCCGATTCCAGCTTGGAAATTGTTGCACTTCTGTCCCGTATTTATTATGACTTTAAAAGATCTTCCATATGACCCTACATAAGTATATTCGGGTATATCAAAAGGACTTGCTACCCTTAACAGTAATCTCGCTGAAGAAAGATCATCTCTATTCCTTGTCTCCTCCATGATACTCACAAGCTCTCCCCACATTCCTGCAAGTTTCTCCAGAAAAGGTGCAGACCAACTAAGAAATGGTAGCCCCACCAACTCTACCAAGCAGTACGCCAGTGGAACTCCTTCTTCGTTTAACAATGGAGATAACCACTTAAACCAAAGGAACAACTTCTCTCTACTGGACGACCAAGCCTTTAAGAAATCTTCATTAGAACTGAATATAACGATACAAGCATTCTTAACATAACCCCAGCTTACTATTTTGACCTCATAACCCTCCTTCGCCAGGGCCTTTTTCACCATATCAGACTGACGGGGATATTTCAAAACCCCCGTTAAAGAATTCTTCACCCATCTTGAATCTTCAGAAGGAATGTGCATATCCCATACGTTCCTTAGCCCATTTGCTTTCAAATTTTGTCCTCCCTTAATTCCCGCTCTATCGTGCTCCGCTCTTACCTCTACATTCACCACCTCCTTATACGTTCTGCCATCCCTCGGGCTGCTCGGCTTTCCCATTACCACCTGCTGCCTACCTTCCTCCCCTCGCACATGCTTGTTGCCTTTCACCTGGAACTTTTTGTCATCAGTTGCTCTTCTCCTTTCCTTCTGATACTTTGCAACCCCCACTGAGACTCTCTTCCCATCTATCAGCGTTCCATTGACGTTCTGAATCGCTCTTCTACAACCTTCCTCCATCGCATATTGCACAAAGGCAAACGTTGATGACTTATAATTTGGTTTCACCATAAAACTTGGAATATAGACCCTTAAAACACGACCATAAATATCGAAGATCTCTCTTAACTCTCTTCTAGTAACTCTCTTACTAAGATTGTCTACGAAAACAGTCCATTCTTTATCGGAAGAAGAACGACCTGTCACCCGCTCTCTACTTCTCTCTCTACCTTTCTCACTCATGTTTATAGCTGTTTATACCCTTATATAGATTAATTCTATTTACGTTGTATTTTTCTCATGAGAGATGGTTAAAAGTTGCAGATTACACGGAAAGAGGAGAAGGTGGCAAAGGAGAAAGTCCTTGCACAAGCTGCCTCCGTACAAAAGTAAATAGATCGTCTTGAAGCAAGTTATCTGAGTTGGAGACGAGGCTGGATTCATCAAAAATAGCTGCACTTCGGGGAGGCATTGGTGGAAATGGCCAGAGCTCTTCTGTCAATGAGGTGAATCACGTTCCAAGCTTCTCTAAAATGGTGGTTGACATCAAGGATTATTCTGGTAGAAGAAGTTTGAAACACGAGCGTGAGTGCTTATCAGAAGAGAAGATAGTGGTATTCCTTCCATGTTCTCATCAGGTCCTATGCGTCAAATGCAATGAGCTCCACAAGAAACAACGGATGAAGGACTGCCCCGCTTGTAGGAGCCTGATCGATTGCCGCATATGTGCACGTTTTGCTAAGCCACGGGCTATGGCTCTCTGAACCTTTTTGCTTGACTAAGACCAGTGAGTTGATGGTGGATAGCTGAAAAGGGTCTTTTTGTTTGTTTTAGGATCCTTTGAATAGTTCATACCAGTAGCTCAAATTAAATAGAAAATTTATAGCTTATGATGTACAATTTATATAATAACCGAATCCTTTCCTTGATGCTGTTCATAATTAAATCAAAGGTCCACTCCAAATTTCTTCCATAATATATTAGCCTAGGGTAGATATTCAACTCATCGGTTACCAGTCTTAATATCACTGAGCCAGATCAATTAGAACTTCATGGTTGTCCATCGTACTCAAATTCTCCTCTATCTGAATAACCCTACTTGACACCCATATTTAACATCAAAGGTCAACAACTTGGAACCTCAATCAGAATAATTTGCAAAGGTGAAAACCCTAAATGACTTGAGCCAAAGGCAACACAGCATGACAAGTAGCCAGAACTTTGAGATTCTAGTGTTTATTAGAGTTAGGTTGATGACCCTTAAAGAAAAGAAGGTATCATAGCACAAGAAAAATGAGGCCAACAGAACAAACACCATCAACATCACAAAAGGATCTTATTCTTACTGACAAATTAACTCGGTATTGTTCCATACCTAGATCCAACACCTCTTGCCCAACATATGAAACAAGAGGCTTTGGTATGATGATAGTTGTATGTCCAGCATAGGCCATCAACAATGGAAGTGCAGCAATTGACGGTAGTAGAAGTTTCCTGCTCTTCATAAAAAAGAAAGTGAGGATCTTGTTAAGCATTTGTTCGGAAGCCATACACACCCTTCTAAATAATTTACAAGATTTTGTGGAGTACACTAAAACCTTAAGGCTAAGGATATACTCACACTCTCCAAGGCACATCCAGGACATCATCTACAAATCCAAGTAAAATCATGAAGCAGATGGATGCTAAGGCTGCATTATACTCAACGAGCCACTGAATAAACAATAGTCAACAGATTCTTCTTAAATCGTATAAAACATTAAACTCTGTGTGAATAAGCTAACATCAAACCTACTGCAACAAGAACTTGCACTAAAATTATGATGCAAGAGCAAAAAACTTTATGAACTTGAAGTTGGAGAAAATAACAGAGCGTGATAAGTACAAGAAAAAGAATGAAATAAAAATTTCAAAGAATAAAGTGGAGTTATCTCAAAGTTCAATGTTCCAAATATTGTGCTCAACTTAACTAAGCTTTAATGCAGACTACTAGATGTCAGATGCATAAAATTTTCCCTGCGTTAATCTTTTACAACTAACTCTACTTGTATCACAAATAAGAAAAATATATCAATATCATTTTCCGTGTTTCAACATCGACCAGTGGCAATCTATTAGAAATTCCATAGCATGCTTTTGCAAAATACATGTTGATGAAAGAAAGGAATATGGCAGGAATACAATCAAAAACAGAAGAATGAGAACAAATATTACTATGACCGAGTTCAGTTGGTGAAAAGGAATGAGTTCATATTTTTATTCTATTTTATATTTTCTTGGAATGGTCCATGTCAATTTTATGATCCATGTTCAGGGTTTGTTTTATTGTATTTTATATTTGCTATAAGCCTATAACCATTTTGTCTTACACGTTCTAATTAAATTTCCTTTTTATATATTTTACTTATTTTTTCTTCTCTCGCTGTTCTTTATGATACCTCACTAATTTTGCTTTCATACAAGTTCCACCACTAATAACTCAAATGCACCAATAGTTATAACTGTGAACTCAGTTCCCTCAAAAATGGTATCAGCCATTGCTAGTGTTTGAATTATTTTATAAACTATTTCCATGATATTGTACAATAAAACTGCACAAATGCAAAATTGAAAAGGAAGAGCATGCAAAAAAGCAGCAAGAAACGTCAAACTTACATTTGAATCTGCTGTGAAGTTAAAATACTGGAACAAGATTGCCAAAACCAAGAAAACAATGCCGACAACGATTCCCAATGACTCGGGCCTGTAAAATCCGAAGCAGCCTTCACTAACTAGCGTGTTCACTTTATTTTCCATAAAAATTTCATGAATAAAAAAAATAGCGTAAACCACCATTGAGGATCTAATGTATTGACAATTCAATAAAATGTTAAAGTAGAAACATTTATTAAACAGCGTAAAGTTTTTAGTTTTATACAAATGGACAAAGATCTAGCCAGTACACTGAGCTTGTGATCTTGAACAAAAATCCAAACGCAATTTAGCTAATTCAATCAAAATTGAAAACTAAAACATACCCAAATCAATAAAATTCAAAGGCAATTGAAACCCAAGAAAAAATTCCGATATGGGAAAAAGAAAAGGTTTTAGGACATACACTTTAACATCGCCTTGAGGGGTACCCTTCTTGTTAATATCAAACCCAAATAAGCCGCGTTTCGAAACGTATCTTGAAGCAACAGGTATCATTCTCTGAGTAAGGAAGAAGCCGGCGACACAAAGGGCGGCGTTGATAAGGATAGGTCTCCTGAGGTCTTGGTCGATCATGTAGTGTTGGTAAAGAAGGTAAAAGTATGGGATCGAAAAGAAAAGAGAAAATTTAAAGATTAAGGCTTTTTTAGGTGGAGCGATAGGAGGCTCGATTTGGTGGGTGGTGGTTGTTTCTGGGGATGGAGGAGGGCTTGCCTTTGTTGAACCTCTCTTGCGAGCTGCCATGGCTGCTGTGTTCTGTACAAAAAAAATGTTTTATTTTTCTCTCCACTCTTTAAATTTTAACTGGATCTATATAATGGGAAGACTTACGCATTACTTTTGAATAGTGGGCTGAAAAAGTAATTTTAAATTATGTTTTATTAAAAATCATTTTTTAAAATCAATTTTAAAAGTACTTTAAAATTCCAGTGTTTAATATTGTTATTATAAAATATTTTTAATAAGATAAAATATATGCTTTACACATTATATTATAAATTCAAAATATATTAACTTAAATTATTTTAAAGTACTTTAAAATTCTAGTGTTTAATATTGTTATTATAAAATATTTTTAAAAAGATAAAATATATGCTTTACACATTATATTATAAATTCAAAATATGTTAACTTAAATTATTTTAAATTTATTAATATTTTAATATATAAAATAGATCAATTTAACAGATAATAAAAAATATAATTATAATAAAAATATACCTATTATTAATATTTTAATATAAAAATAATAAATTTTAATTATTTTAATAAATTAAAATAAATTATTAAATAATAAATTAGTTTTAAAGATATTAATATTAAATTATTGAAACAAAAGATAAAACATGCTCTTTATAAAAGAAATTGAATTTTAAAAAAATCAAGATAAATGAATGAAAAGTATATATTAACAAGGATAAAATCATAAATTTACTTCTTGAAGTAAAACTAGAAATAGGAAAGTTGAAAATCTTAAATTTTACGTTTGATTTAAAACCATCATTCTAAAGATAAGTTTAGTTTTAATTTTTACTCGTTTAATATTAGATGTGCGATCAAATTAATTTTTTAACCAAAAGTGTAGTTAGACAGCGTTATCAAACAAACTTAGTTTCATTTTCGCCTTCATTGAACCAACGAGATACTACCACCAAAGCTAGTACAATTATTCTTGTAATTAAGCGGGACCGTTGGTGCTTTAATGGTTATTTTTAATTTAAGTGTATAAGGTAAAGTATGGCTGTAAATGAGACGAGACAGATCGCGAGCTACTCGATATCGACTCGATCAAGGCTCGAAAAATACTCGGATCGAATGAACTCGACTCGAGCTCGAGCTCGACTCGAGTTCTTAACGAGCAGAAACGAGCTACTCGATACTCGACTCAAAAAGCTCGTGAGAAGCTCGAAAAAATGTTATATTATAATTTTAGATTTTTTAAAATTACATTATTAAAAATACACTATTGATAATTATAACATTTTAAAAATATATTAAAAATTCTATAATACAACTACCCTCAAATTTTAATTAATATCTTTTATAATGAATCCTAAACCTTAAACCTTAAATCCTAACCCTAAACCCTAAAATATAAATCATAAAGTCTAAACTCTAAATCCTAAATCCTAAACCCTAAATTATACTTACCTCATAAATCGATACTAAGTCGATTAATTAATGTCTTTGTAATGAACCCTAAAATCTATTCCATAAATCCTAAACTCTAAACTACAAACCCTAAACTACAAACCTTAATCCGCTAAACCCGATTATATGATAGGAGTTAAGTTATGCACATGAAAGTCGCATACAAATTATGTAAAATGATGTTATGTGACTCCTAAATAAATCATTAGCATACTTATACATAAACATATCAACATGCAAAATAAATATACACAACTAATTAAAGAAAACAATCCTAAACAGAGACTAAATTAAGAGAAACCTAAATGTGAGGACTAATTTAAGCTAAATATACTAACTTTAGAATGATGATTAAATTCACGTAAATGTAAAATTAAACTTACAAAATTGGAATTAAACCAATGACTTAAATACAAAATGCGCATAAACTATAGGGTCTTATATGCAATTGATACTATTCGGTTTAAGCTAAAATAAAATGGAAAATAACATAAATGACACCTGAACATTTAAAACAAATAAGAAAATTTAAACAAATGTGATTGAAATATAAAAATTAAAATATAACATAACAAACTATAAATTTATTAAACATGCATATACATATTAAACTAATGACTAAATTTATATAAACGTAAAATTCAACATACAAATCAAGAATTAAATTAAGGATTTACAAAAGCGTGCTCAAGTTTGGGGGACTATAACTTAATTTACCAAAAAATTAATATGAAACCTAAATTTAACTAAACCTAAACTAAACTCACGCACACAAAATACCAAACACAGCTGCACAGCCCTAATAGCAAAATTGCTCTCTCTGTGTGTCTTAGTTTGAAGCTTCAAGTGCAAAGTCAAGGGATTTGCGGGTGGAGAAGAGGATAGAGATCTCTCTGCCTTCAAAGTTTGATCCTTGAATTCAAAGCTTTATACTTTTCTAACTTGTTCTTCCCTTCTATATTTTTAGCTTTCTTTTCGTTTCTTTTTTTTCTCTCCTGGCTCCTGTCCATCTAGAAAGAATTTTTGTCTTGTCCTCTGTTCTGTTGCGTTCTTTTCTGTTCGAGCGTCATGGCTTTAAAGCGGATTTTGAAGGAACTCAAGGATTTGCAGAAAGATCCACCCACTTCTTGCAGTGCTGGTAACATTTCATCTTCTACCGCCTAACATCAATATATCTTTACCAACAATACCATACTTTGATCTCATTGTTTATGTTGCTTACCCTACCTTTTTCACTGTTTTTAACTGCGTACTTAATTTTAGCTTATGAATAAAATCGATTAAAAATTTAAAACCCCAAAGCTCCAAACTTGACTCCTTGTATTTACTTTAGCTCGTTTACCCTTATATACGTTAGGGCTGCTTATTGTTGAAAATAAAGGTTTTCATCATGAAAAATGAGCAAATCCCTTCCTTAGGCATTGATCTTCATGTAGTCTGCTTGCCTTCCAACTTGATTTTGATTTAATCGACAAGCTTTTCAGTTCTTATACTAGAATTGCTTGATCCGATTCAGACTGTTCATTATTATTATCTGAACTTTGACTTGTGCATCAATGGATGACATTTAGGTAACCTTTGGATGCTTTTTTTTTTGTAATAGGTCATGTAGCTCAAGACATGTTTCATTGGCAAGCAACAATCGTGGGCCCTTCCGATAGCCCTTATGGTGGAGGTGTATTTTTTAGTTACGATTCATTTTTCTCCGGACTACCCTTTCAAGCCTCCTAAGGTAATTTACTTCACCCGCGAAGTTTTACTCTAGTGTTGATGATTGTTCGTATGATACTCTACACACTCTTTTCATGGACAATGTTGTTTTGTTGTATAGGTTGCATTTAGAACCAAGGTCTTCCATCCAAACATCAACAGCAACGAGAGCATTTGTCTTGATATCCTAAAAGAACAATGGAGCCCTGCACTAACCATTTCCAAGGTCTGTCCTTACTCCTGCTAATATCATGGTTAAAATAGTACAATGTATAAACATTGTCAACAAAACTAACACTGGTGCAAAACAGGTTTTGCTCTCAATATGCTCCTTACTGACTGATCCAAACCCCGACAACCCACTTGTTCCAGAGTCCAGACAAACAAAACTAACTCGTTTTCTATTATACCTATTAGTCTTTTTTTAACAGGTTGTTTCTAAATGACGTGTAACGGCATGGATTCGAGCATGACTAGCATTTGCAGGCTCTGTCCCTTGTTGTGCTTGGTGCTCTGTCCCTTGTTTTGTGTGTCTGCAGGGCATGGATTCGAGCATGGCCAGCATGGGCGACAGCAACATTGGTTTCGGTGGATGGCTGACCAGCATGGGTCTTCCTCGGTGGGTTCACGTGGGTAGCACACTGTCTCGGGCTTCCTCCTGGTGGATTTGTACCATATATTAATTATCTTAAGTTTCTTGTAATTGTATTTTTATTTTTTATATTTTTTATAGTTCATACATTCATATTATAATGTATTGGTGATGGTTGATTAAAGGGAAAATTATTTATTATATTTTAAATGCAATATAAGATTTTTGTAGGTTCAAATTCGAGTTTGAGTTCGAGCTTGAATCGAGTTCGAGTTTGAGCTTGAATCGAGCTCAAAATCGAGCTTCAATTGAGCTCGAGTCTCGAGCTTCAATTGAGCTCGAGTCTCGAGCTTCAATCGAGCTCCTGAAATTTTTTTTTTAGTTTGAGCATATTCGAGTTCGAGTCGAGTTTCAATATTATCTTTCGAGTTCGAGTCGAGTTTTAAAATTTTAGGCTCGCGAGTTTTCGAGTCGAGTCGAGCTTACATTTAAAGTTTTCGAGTTCGAGTCGAGCTCTGCGATACTCGAGCTCGACTCGGCTCGTTTACACCCCTAAGGTAAAGTATACAAATGCTCAACTATTATAGAATATTATTTTGTTGAATATGAGATTATTAATAGTTATAAAATGATTTTTAATTATAGGTTGTTGTTTTGTTAAATCATCCAACTATTAAAATTTATAAAATGGTTGCTCAACTATTCATGTGTTTCAAACCCAACCTTTTTCGTTAAAATATTGGCGGCCATCTAAGTAACATGTTGATTCGGATATGATAAAATATAATCCATAACTGTTTGAGTTGTATTTTGTGGATCGACTCTTCGTTTATATTATGTCGTCGGCCCGTTGAGCTAGTGCTTGAAACATCGTGTCATCGAACAAATTCTTGAAAGCAACGACAGTGCCAGTAGACACCATTAAAATATAGTTTTTTTCATATCAAAGTCAACAAATTAGCGTCAAACTCAGAAAATCATCAATTTTTTTAACGGAAAAGAATGTGTTAAAACATATGAATAGTCGGGTGATCATTTTGTACCTTTTCATAGTTATGAGACTTAATAAAATAGCACCATATAATTGGGGATTATTTTATAATTTTTAATCGTCAGGAGACTCAGCAAAATAGCGTCCTATAGTCGGGAACTCAATAAACCAGTGTCCAATAATTGATGATCAATTGTATATTTTACCCTAATTGTAATTGAGTTTACAAAAAGTATTTTTCTTTAGTGTTTTAATAATATAAAATGTTTTTAATATAATTTATTTTAAATTTTTAATATTCATTTTAAATTATTTTATTATTTGGTTTTTTTGTAAA